ACCATATGATCCCTATTGATGTGGCAGTAGCTACACACACTCCATATTGCACACTCTTTTGTTATTATACTGAGTGAATGAATGGCAATTAATAAAGTTCATTTCACCATATGATCCCTATTGATGTGGCAGTAGCTACACACACTCCATATTGCACACTCTTTTTGTAAAGCTGCGGACGCAATCGCTACTCCAATCACCACCATCACCACGTCCCTTGGCAAATCCCTGCAATATCACTTTCTTGGATACTATTACAAAGCTGTCTCCTTTAAATCATTCAGATTTGGCATTCGAGATCGGTTTGTTCGGTTATACGTATGCCCATTTTGCCCACTTTTAGAAGCCATCTGATCCGAGTATGACGATGTCTCGCTGGCACTTCTGTTCCCTGGGGAAACGTGCCAGCCTGGCTCCATCTGGCCGGGGATCTGGAGGGCTGCTCTGCCTTTTGATTGGGGTTCTTGGCGTATGTTGCTGCTGCTGGCTGTGGAAGCTTGACTCATAGGATGAATTCGAACTTCAGAAAAAGAAGTTTTAGCTGGCTGATTTGGTAAGGGCTGGAATCGGGGCTCAGAAGGAATTGAATGGTTTGAGGAAGAGGAGGAGAGATGCAGCAGCTTGCGTAAGGATTTTAGAGGCTGGCTCTGAAAGACAGAAAGCAGAAAATAATGGAACTCTTGTTATTTATTTTCACCTCTGTTCTTCTTCCTACCCTCCTTCCTCTTACTTGCTTTACTTTTATTAGCCACAAAGTATTTTGCATATTGTTGTTACACACTAAACTGTCAATTATTCAATAATTTGGGTAGCAATCTTTAAGTGCTCATGTACAATTGGAGTTCTTGGGATTGATTGCAAGCTAGGAGAACTAGAGGAACGACAAATAGTAATGGACAAGACTGATTTATATTAGCATAGGCAAAACTGTAAAAAAAAGTGTAGCTTGTGGGTCACATGAGGCCCGTGGTGCCCTTACACAGTAAATGCAGCCCAACATTTGGGTGGGGAGGGGAAAGCAATTTTCTTTTTGGTTTAAAGAATTGTTAAGGGACCAAGAGGGTGCCTTATGCTTTGCAGAGTCTCAATACACCCATGTCATCACTTACAACTTCTGAAACACTCTTTCATAACAGGCTCTGAGTCCCACCTGTTTTGGGAGGGAGCCTCTTGCCTGCCATGGAAAGCCTGGTAGGCCCCTTGGGCTGATGGAAGTTGACCAATCTGGCACTGGCCGATATACTATCTCAGATTGTACTAAAAAGGCACTATATATCAATACCTTTAAAGTTGAGTTGGTTTGGAAATTTCAGATGGCTTGTACGGCAGTTGGTTTATGTCACCCAATTACCTCTTTTCCTGGTTTTGAATAATGTCATTACTCCCACAAAGAAACCAGACTCTGTTGTTTTACACAAGTGTCTTGACAGCTGCAACCCCAAACTCTTGACTCACAAACAAGCAATTACGAATCGCTTCATTACCCCCAGAATATGCCCAAATTATCCCTTGGGGGTAATTATCCCCAGTTTAAGAACTACTGGTTTATGTAGTAACTGTATTATACCAGCTACACTGGTTTCCAGAATATTTTGCTGCAGTTTAAAATGTTGATTTTAACCTTTAAAGCCTTAAATGGATTAAGATTAAATAATTGAAGGCTTGCCTTCAGCCCCACAAACCTGCCTGAACTTTAACATCTCCAACAAAGAATCCATTCATTTGTTCACCTCTGGGAACAGTCAGATTACTATATATCAGTAACAATACCTCTTTTGTATTGGTTTTAGAATGAAATTACCAACAGAAGTGCACCCAGTACAGAACTCTAAGATTTCCTGTCTTCACTGATTTTTATTAATGCTCTTTATTGCTTACATTGTTTTGTCTTGTGAGCTACCTTGACTCAAATATTTTAAATAAATAAATAAATAATATGGGCACATGCATATGGTTGGAACAGTATTTCATTGCTGTTCAGAAACAAGTCAGGGACAATTCTTATTTATGAACTTCATATTGACACTTAAGGGAAATGGCAACTCAATCTGCTCCACTGATGTGTGTAATGGGTAGATGGCCATACTACTCTGTAGAACCTGTTGCTGTTAGCACCCCACACAGGAAACAGCTAAACGTTCATTCAATTATACACTTCCGTTAAGATGATAAGGACCATTGCTGAGAGTAAAAGTGCTGCTTCCAGAAAAATATCTTGCTTGTTGCATCAGTGCATTAAAAATGAAAATGGTAATCTGGGTTTTCAGTTTGGTTGTTCTAGTCACTATAGGCTGCAGGTCATCCTCGATGTATAACCACTATTGGGACTGGAACTTCCGTTACTAAGCAATGTGGTTGTTAAGTGAGTCACGCCCGATTTTTTGATCCTTTTTGCTGCAGTCATTAAGTGAATCACTGCGGTCTTTAAGTGAATCACATGGTCGTTAAGCGAATCCAGCTTCCCAGTCATTAAGCCAATCAGGCTTCCCCCACTGACTTTGCTTGTCAGAAGCCCTCTGGGAAGGTCACAAATACTGCAACTGTCGTAAATACATGCTGGCTGCCAAGCACCCAAATTTTGATCATGTGACTGCAGGGACACTGTAACGGTTGTAAGTGCGAGGACTAGTCATGAGTTACTTTTTTTAATGCCATCGTAACTTTGAACTGTCATTAAACAAATGTTCGTAAGTTGAGGACTACCTGTATTTGAAGTGAACATTTGTATCTCCTTTGCCTTTTCTTGTGCCTTTTATTCTATCTTCCTCTTTCTGGTTTTGCATACCTGAAGTTTTTCTTACTAGGGAAGGAACAGACTAAAGAACCAAGAAAAATGGGAATAAGTAATGATGTTTACCTGTTATTCCACTACAGAAAACAGTTTTCTGAAAAGTTTTCAGGGATATCAAACTCTCAGCCTTCAGGCTTCATGTTACCCTCTAGGTCATTTTATGCAACCTGCATAATCCTAAATACCATATTATGATGCTCATTTCCTTCAGTTTTGACTCACTAGAGACCAGCAACATCTGCAAGGGGGGGGGGATGGGGCCAGTCTAAAAACAACGTCATGGTGCTGCCCTCTTTCTGCATACCTCTCAACACTATTAGAGTTACAACACTGCAATGGCTTCTTTTGTCATTCTGATCAAAGCACCAAGACACCGTGGGAACTGCTGGTAGAGATTTTTATACCAATGTATTAAAAAACTCTAATGTAGCTCTGATTTAAAGAACTAATTGTCATGCAGCACTTGTGATGATTTCAGTTTGAGACCCTAAGAATAAAGGTCCAAAGCTACTCTGTATCATAACTTAGAATAACTATTCACCTGCCAAATGACTTAAAATGAAATGAAGCAATAGTTAAAACTTACATGTCCTTGGATTTCTGTCATCTTTTCAGAATGCCAATCCTTCTGCCTGCTGGCTGGGTGGTTAGATGAGTGAATAGCTTTTTGTATTGCCAAAAGATCCTGACTGTCGCTTCCAGGCATCTGTAACATGGAACGATATTGTGCTCATCAATTCCTGGGAACAAATATTCTAAGTTAAGCCCCATTTCCCACTTATCCCTGCTTCTCAGATCAAAGCAATGCAAGTGAACCCATTATTGCTATGCCCTTTTAAGATCTCTGTATTAATCATTATATTTGTAGATGCCATGCATATTTTTATAACCTCCACCCTTAAGGCATTCACATGCTGTTAGTCAAATACTGAAAAAGAGAGAGGGAGAGCAGTTAAGTAAGTGCATTGCTCTGTTTCATACTCATTTCCATGACATTCCATACTGCTTTTAAGATCATGAGCCATTTCCACAAAAACTATGTTTTTTGCTAAGGAAGAAAGATCAGAGTCATCAATTAGTTTTGTAATACATTTACAAGGAAGAGTATTTTTCCCATCAAAGAAATAAGCTTTAGCTTAAAAACATATGTCTTCTAATCAGAGAAATTGCTAAGTAATGCAACATGCCAGCTGCAGAGAAAAATTTTGGCTGAATATATCTTCTGAACGGTTTTGCCCTCTAACAGGGAGGTAGGAGATTGTTGGCTAAGACTCCTTTCTCAGCAAATAAAATTTAGGATTTAAAAATTGTTAATCCATTAAATGTAGGGGGATTAGCTTTTATTTTGCCAACAAAAAGCAATAGGATAGTTGATCGCATATAGAGAAAATAAAGGCTCTCCAAAGTGTTCTATATTAGATAAAATTAAACATGGCTACTACATCATGTGTTCCTTTTATTTATGTAAAAGAAAGCAAACAGTAAGCTATATAAATAAAAATATTCCAGTTGAAAGAATAATTCACTGTATGCCTGATTCCAAAAGAAGCTTTTATGTTTTACTAGACATTTATTCCTAACCCTGATGATGATAATATTATTAATAATGCTGCATTTCTTTGAAATTCTGAAAGAAAAAAACAAAAAACCTAGGTTCTCTTAATTTGTGGAATTGGCTCAAGAAGCTTAATTTGTGTGGAGACTATGAACCCATGAGAAAAAAATAATATATATATCTATATATATATATACACATGCTATAGTGGTAAGTAAAATAGATGTACTGTAGCAGTTTTTTCAGTGCTACCATTTTTAAAAGTTAATACCATAGGTAGAGTGACTACAGGATTCTTTTTCAAAGAAGAGCTATGCTTTAAATGATTCTTTGAAATAAAAAGAGGAAAGAGAGATTTCTTGATGCTTGGGTTCTCCATCTTGGTAGATTCTGTCTGCAATATAAGATACAAAAACTAATTGCACAAATAATTCTAATTCAGGAGAGCTACCCATGCCTCTTATCTGCTGAATTATATATGAATGCTTCAATGATCACAGATGTTTAATCTAACTTTTTATAATTATATCAAGATAAGACTAATTGCTCTGCTGAATGAGAAAAAGCCTGTGGAAGAAATAATTTAAGTTTAACTGCCTATGCAATACATTTTAAGACTGTGCCTATCAAATGCATGCATTTAGTAAGTTTAGAATCAATTACTTTCTGTGCTTTAAGTTTTGCATATGAACTGTGACTATGGTTGTTATCAAAATATTACCAGCAATCATAAAGAAGAGGCAGTTAAGTGTATATGTATCAATTCACTTTGACAACACAGGGGTTTGTATAATTTCTGTTAAAGGCTGATATGCAGCGACTGAGAAAAAAACACATTCATGCAAAATATTAGCTTTTTATATGATTTTTAAAATTATCTAGCTTCATAAAAACCACTCTCTCTCAATGCAAACCTAAAGCTATATTTCTAACAATGCTAATTAAGGAATAAGCCTTATTGTACAGATGGGTCTTACTTCCAAATTAACACATAAAGAATTTGGGGAAAAATGTGTGTAGTAACTAAAAATATTTAGGAAGAAGAAGAATCCTCAAAATATTTATCTGCTGACAATAAGAAACTTAGATGTACTCCATCTCTAACTTCCAAGTCTTCATTGTAGGTCAATAAATTTAAACAGAATAGATAAAAATGGCTCTTCTACTTAGTACTTGTTTATTATTGATTTATTATAGAAACTTATATAGGCACCCATCTCACAATCACAATTCTTTCCTATCCCCTACATGTGCATCTTGACAGGGTTTGTGAAAAGAGGAAGAGAGAAGGAGGAAGGGACATTAACATGAACTAAGCTGGTGGAAAGATCATAGACATGTTTTCATTTTTAAATACAGTGGGGCAAAAAAGTATTTAGTCAGCCACCAATTGTGCAAGTTCTCCCCCTTAAAAAGATGAGAGAGGCCTGTAATTTTCATCATAGGTATACCTCAACTATGAGAGACAAAATGGGGGGGAAAATCCAGAAAATCACATTGTCTGATTTTTAAAGAATTTATTTGCAAATCATGGTGGAAAATAAGTATTTGGTCACCTACAAACAAGCAAGATGTCTGGCTCTCACAGACCTGTAACTGTCTGTGAGAGCCAGACATCTTGGTTGTTTGTAGGTGACCAAATACTTAGAGCCTCTTAAGGAAGTAGTTACAGGTCTGTGAGAGCCAGACATCTTGCTTGTTTGTAGGTGACCAAATACTTATTTTCCACCATGATTTGCAAATAAATTCTTTAAAAATCAGACAATGTGATTTTCTGGATTTTCCCCCCCATTTTGTCTCTCATAGTTGAGGTATACCTATGATGAAAATTACAGGCCTCTCTCATCTTTTTAAGTGGGAGAACTTGCAGTCTGTGAGAGCCAGACATCTTGGTTGTTTGTAGGTGACCAAATACTTAGAGCCTCTTAAGGAAGTAGTTACAGGTCTGTGAGAGCCAGACATCTTGCTTGTTTGTAGGTGACCAAATACTTATTTTCCACCATGATTTGCAAATAAATTCTTTAAAAATCAGACAATGTGATTTTCTGGATTTTCCCCCCCATTTTGTCTCTCATAGTTGAGGTATACCTATGATGAAAATTACAGGCCTCTCTCATCTTTTTAAGTGGGAGAACTTGCAGTCTGTGAGAGCCAGACATCTTGGTTGTTTGTAGGTGACCAAATACTTAGAGCCTCTTAAGGAAGTAGTTACAGGTCTGTGAGAGCCAGACATCTTGCTTGTTTGTAGGTGACCAAATACTTATTTTCCACCATGATTTGCAAATAAATTCTTTAAAAATCAGACAATGTGATTTTCTGGATTTTCCCCCCCATTTTGTCTCTCATAGTTGAGGTATACCTATGATGAAAATTACAGGCCTCTCTCATCTTTTTAAGTGGGAGAACTTGCAGTCTGTGAGAGCCAGACATCTTGGTTGTTTGTAGGTGACCAAATACTTATCTTTTTAAGTGGGAGAACTTGCACAATTGGTGGCTGACTAAATACTTTTTTGCCCCACTGTAATATTTACTGTTTGGGTTTTGCTTTTTTTACCACTGTTGAAATTGCTTATATGCTTCTTTGACAGCATTGTTATCCTAAAAGGACAGATACAAATAACAGCAGCAAACCAACTTTCAAGGAAAAATAGTAACCTTGTTTCAAGGCTATAGTACTTACTATTAAATTCATTTAGAACCTTAACATTTTTCAGAATTTTACTCATGACTATAGCATAAGATTTTGTTTCTTAAGTTCTTTACGACAATAAAAGTAGTTTCCTCTCCCTTTAACTTCCCATCTCATACCAATATATTTAAATCCTACATCAGTTAACCCAATCCATGTTTCTGATGAAGTGAGCTGCAGTTCATGAAAGCTTACATCTTAGTCTTAAAAAGTGCTACCAGACTCTTGTGATTTATGGAGTTTTATAAGTAACTAAAATTGAACTGATTTGTTTAAAATGAATAGTCAAACATTTCACAGGCTAACGTAAGCCCTTTATATCAGAAATTCTAAAACTGTGAGACACATATTTGGGGAACAGTCTGCAAGATGAGGACATTAGCTTGGCCTTCCCTGTCCCATCATGGAGAAAATTTATCTATGTGGTTGCTAGGAATAGAAAATGACTCAATGGCACATAATCAATCAATCAATCCCTGTCCCATGCCCCAGGAATCTGCTTCTCTTGGAAATACAACTTTTTCTTGATGGAGCTGAGAACCAGCAGGCCTATACAGACAGCTATTGGGCAAGGACTAAGGACCTTCTGAAACTTAAAGAGCAGTAGAATTCTTGTGTGGGCTTTAGCAAATGTTGAAATTATTACTAACAAATGACAGCAATGGGTATACTATACAGAGAGGGGAAATGGGGAAAAGGGGGGCAAATACTTTCTCTAGGGCCACAAAGGATTTGGCACAGCCACCAGCCCCATTCCCTCCACCCAAAAACTTTTGGCACTGTTTTCCATTAGTTTACAAAAAATGACACTAACTTCACAGATTTTGGATATCACCCTTCAAAAAGGATTCACAGAAACTGAAACAAGGCTGCACATGCGATGCTGCAGAATTGCCAGAACTTACTTCCTCTTTGCTTGGGAAAGTCAGCAAGGATCAGACCCCACAAGATCTGAGATGGCTAGACCCAGGGCCTAGCCATCTATCAAGAAAATCAGCTGACAACAACAGCTTAATTATTTATTTATTATTTAATTTTATTCATGGGAGGTCACAGAAAAGCATTTCTCATTTTAGGGTCTAGGCAAGTAGGACTGTCCAGAAATTTCACAATAATCTTCAAATTCTATATACTTGCTAAATCTGATAGTTGTAGTTCAAAATATCTCAATAACCAAGTTGTTCTTCCCTGTGGAAGACTAAAATAGTTAAGCAAAACGTTATAGAAAACATGAGCTACTTACTGACTGAGATTTCTTCTTTTTCTTCTTTATTGCCCTGAAAAAACTTTGTTTTTCTTTTTCCTTTAGTTGTTCAGAATGAGCATTTTCAGGACTTTTCCTTAATGTAGAGAAGAAAAAACACACATACATAAAGTCAACTTTAGTATAATGCATTACACAGTATACAATCTTACAGAAAAGTAACACTTTAAAAAGAATATACACGAAAAATTTCATCCCAATCAGCAGTGGGATATTACATTGGGGACTTGCCATAATCCTATGTTTGGTACTGGTAACTCTCAACAATACATTTGCTGAGAGTTTTTGCAATGAATTCTAGGTACCAGTTCTGATTGATGACATTTGCATTGATCAAGACTCCAGGCTTTGTATAATCTGCATGATGTCTGAACTGAGAAAAGCTATATTTGCATTAGAATCAATAGCTTGAATTTGGAAGTATTTCATGCAGAACTGGCTTTCCAATTTTGTTTTGGAGACATATTATGGTTTCTAGAACAATCACACTTTATTTGATTTAGTTGTAACAGCAAAATATACTTGACGAAGAAAGCCAGTTTTCAGTCCATTCACAATGTTAAGACGACTCAGGAGAGGGATGGTGCAAAAGTTATAAAGGAAAAAATAAACCTGCCCTGTCTCTGAAAAGTATCCTCTCTGTTTAGAGGAACAAACTAAATCTTAATATTTACTGTAATATACAGTATATTGCCAATATACTGCTCTTTTCTTTCTAATATACACAGCTATCATATATTCCTTTACGCCAACTGCAGAAAAGAGTAGATAGTAGAAAGCAAAAGAAATCAGAGGCTGGATATAAGAGTAAAGAAAATAAAATAAAAGTAAATGAATACCCTCATTGTCAAGCTCTGCTCAGCCGGCTTGAACTTGACTGGCATCGATAGCAACCAATCTTTTATTGTAACATGAGAATGAAGCTACTTTTGACAGTTAAAGCTACTGCCCCCATCTTATACCCACTTGGGCTGATTGTTGCTGCTTTTCCTCCTGCTCTTTCAAGAGTTATGGGCACTTTGATTTATACTTCCTTTTAGGCAACAATTACCTTATGGACATTTTCAGCATTCCCTTTCTGGTAACTTTCAACATATCTCCACTCCATCCTGCTCTCCATTTCTATTTATGCCCCTTTGATTGTTGGAAGGATCAGGAACCAACCCTCTCACCCTGATTCACAGATCCTGGAATGGGAGGTGACCTACTCTCTCCCTTTCAATCTCCATTCCTCAAGGCTTCAACTGGTGCCAAAGACATACTTCAGAAATATTTCACTCTTTTCCTCTTGCAACGAACCATCTCAAGACCAAGAGTCTGAAAGAGAAAGAGTCTGTCCCCACACTTCCCTCTCCAGCTGCCAAATGGCAGACTCAAAATTGCTGATGACTGCAGAAGCCTTTTGGTAGGGCCCAGGCAGGTGGTTTGAATTTATGAGAGTTCTGCAAATGCAAATGGAATGGAGGTGGGGCGTCTGCACACTGAGCATAGCCTCCCCAAAATTATTGGCATCTGGGTAGCCTTTCCAAGTTTTAAATATTCCTGCTGCACTCCCACCTCCAACTTTGTGTGGGGAATCCAGAATGCGCTCCACTTCAAACTGCTCTTTCCCGCCCACTGAGATGGGAGAGGGTAGCAGCAGCAAGGAGTTCCTGTACCAACAGGGAACAATGGAAAACTGGGTATATCTTCATTTTCATAGAAAGCAGCAAGCAAAAATTCACAGAGTAGAATTTGTGGAAAAATAGGGAATGGCCCAACAAATCAACAGACCATTTGTAGGAGGCTTGCAGCTGTTCTTGGAATTTGTGTTGAGTTGCTTCAGGCTCCTTAAATAATCAGGAGGTGGTTAGAAAAATGAAAGGGTCTCATAGGCGTCTCAAATGAAGACAGCTGGGTAGTGGTGTGAACAGAGTTTTTATAAGCCAATTTCATAAGAGATACAAGTTCCAGCAAGTTGTCTTGCTATAAGTTAATGTAATAGTGAAGGTACTGCTTCAAGATGCATTATTTTCTATTTTCCTATCCCACTGTGTATGATGAGCTGAAGAGAGATGAAACTTAACAACCAATCATTTAAATAATACACATAATAAACATGCCATGAACTGTGGCTATTTGCTGTGGATCAGGTGACTGGGAAGTCTGTAGGTCCAGAAAATCTGTTGAATGAGAAAACAGGTCATCTCAGGAGTGGAGGAAAAGCCACAACAGAGAATGAAGAGTGCCACATTAGAGAGCAGAACAACAATGACTAAAATAACAGTGAGACTTTTGATAAGAGATAAATTAGAAAGTCCAAGGAAACTGTCACAAGACTCCTTTGTGGTAGAGAGGAGCTGCAGAAAATCAGCGGGCTTGCTATTTTGAGGCTGCTCACAGTGATAGATATGATTTAATGAGTCATACTACTTGACATGTGCTCTGATTTATAGCCATTAGAAGTCAAAGGGATTGTTAAATTTCTCAAATGCCAAGCTGGTTGGCTATCATGCCAGAATTGCAAAATCTCCTCCCCCAAGAAAAAAAGAATTTATTCCTGTGTCAAGCCCCATGTAGCTGGCAAACCAAGAAAGCAAGAACTGGCAAGATCTCAGGAAGGTATCTTTAATGCTATTCCAGAAAAAAACAAAGCAGGATCTTTAAAACCCTTGCCTTGTGTGCTTAGGATGTAAGAAATATGATATTAAAATTAAAAAAAAAAAGTGCTGACCTGACATTATGATGAGTAAGCTTATAAGCAGTCTGAAGATATTCCAGATTCTTAAGATCTACTGTATGCCTTCCAGAAGATAATGCTAGCCCTGGAAAGCATCCTTAATAATAAAAAGGTCTTTGTTAAAAATGTCATAATTCCACTTGGTGGGCAAAGCTTGTAAGAATGGAATGCCGAGGGCAGGGGGCTGCCTGGAAATTGCAGAAGAGATTGCAATAGCATGGTTTCCAAGACAAAGTTGGAAGCATCAGTCTGTACAATGAAGGCACAATTAGAATCCGGACGATGGATAGATTTGAGTAGATCAAAGAACACTGCTTTTCAGTCGCGTTGTTCAGTGGGATGGACAGAACAGCAAAGTCAGGAATGAATTTGTATTAAAAATTGGGAAAACACTGAAATTGCTGTACATCTTTGGTTCAAATCCAAGTAAAAATGGATTGTACTTCAGCAAAATCCATGTATAATTTTCAACTGAAATGTAAAATACCAGAGGTACACTTCTCTAGCTTGAAGTAGAGTTATAATCAGAGAGATATTAAAGAACTGCAGCTACATGCTTGCAATAGAGAGCAAGAGCCTCAAAGTAAATAAGCAGCATGCATGCATGCATGCATGCATGCATGCATGCATGCATGCATGCATTCATTCATTCATTCATTCATTCATTCATTCATTCATTCATTCATTCATTCATATGTATTAGCTGCCCATTTTGTGACACACAACTCTGGGAGGCTAACAACAATAATAAAAACACAGCAATAAAAATCATTCAACAAGAAACTGGAAAAACCAGGTGCCCAGTCCAAAAGTACACTCATCCAACAATACAATTCCCTGGGCTTTAACCTTATATCCCAGTGCCTGGGGGAAAAGCCAGTTCTTAATAGCTTTCTGGAGGGTTAAGAGGGTGGGGGACTTCTGAATATCAAGGTATTCTACTAGGCAGGGGCTGCTATGGAAAAGGCATGCTTCCTAGGTCCCACTAGATGGCAATATTTGAGGGAAGGAACCTGGAGTGTGCCCACTCTATCTGAACTAGTGGAATTGGCAGATGGAAGAGAGCTGGTCCCGCAGATAACCTGGCCCCATGCTATTAAGGCTTTAAAGGTGATAACCAGCACCTTGAATACATGTATCAGACTATCAAAAATCTTCCAGCTCCTGAGATAAGGTTGATTATACAATCACAGAGACAAGGTCTGGATGCCTCCTTTCTTAAACATGTATGCACAGATCAAAAGCACAGGACTGGAGCATATCCCTCCTGTGAAGTGGAAATGAGTCTTCTATGACTCTTGTGTCACAGAAAAGGAGAATAAATGATGATATCATCATAGTCCCAATGAATGTATAGATTGTAAGCCTGAAGCCAATCCAAAGGATCATTAGAAAATGCAAGGTGGAGGGCTGGTAAATTTGGATATTTGCTGATGTGCAGATGCAGTGTTTCTGTGTGTTCTGAACATACAAACTGGCCATCAATTATTTCAATTAAGTTTGGAAGGTAGACAGGTTAAATGGTACAGCTCATTTGCATGGAACAGGAAACTCAATAAAACTGTCAGTTATGCCAGAATCTATTAAAGCCTCTTGGTAGGTTCTGGTGCCAGCTCAGGTTTTCAGTGTGACTATTGGATGAATTAATCATTGAAGAAATTAGGAAATGTTAATTGAGCATATTATCTTTTCTATTTCTATATAAAGTAACTGTGGTTTATCTTTCATAAAGAAACTTACTTACCAGGGATCAAAAGCAGTTTGTCTCTTTGAATGGCTTGTTACACCACTGCTTTCTGCAGGCAATGCAGGTATTCTGTTTGAGGCACTATTGTCTAGAAATGTTCCTTCTGGACGTGGAGATGGGACTGCAAGAAGAAATATAAGGTTACTCTGTATCCATCCTCAAATTATCTCTTTTTCATAACCCAATGAAGTGGTACTGTATTTATGGCAGAAGATAATACAGTTTACGCAACACGTGATACTGAAAACTGTTTCTTTTTATTTCAGTGTTAGGTTATGAATGATATTCTATCAGCATTGAGAAAAGAACAAATGTCTAAGAGAAAGTGTAGTAGAGGAGTTCTTAGTATATTAAGCTGATATCTTAGTTATGGCTTAATTTGGAGGAAGATATCTTGGTTACAGCAATCCATGCTCCGAAAACTTTTCATTTCAATCCATATATAATACATTATATATAAGGCTGCCAATGAAAATGGTCTGATTGCTGAATCTGCTTTAACTAGAACTGAGAACCATTTATTTTAATCTTACTCATATCTGATGGTTTGAACTCTTGCTATTTAATCCTGCCTCCCTCTTAGATCCCAAGGATGTTTTCTAGGAAATTGGTCACCACTGCTTTACCCTGTGAAAATATTTCCAGATAAAGGAAATGGATGCAGCCATCCACCACTTTTTAATTTTTTTAAAACGCCTATAAAGCCAGAGTTTCTCCAAATACAGAACAATGTGTTTCCTCACACACTGAAGTCTAATATTCTTTTCTACCTTGAAGATTTTTTTCCCCCAGTTTCTTTATCTGAAGCTCCCCTCTCCATCAAAATGGAAAAATTAAACATTTTGGCCAGGATTAAAAAAACGTTTAGAATAATGTCAAATATGTCATTATTCTGAATAATTTTAGAATAAGACAAAATGTTTATATTGCTATCATTTACTCCTTTAAAGTGATATCTATTGAGTATGACTTTATTTTAGGTATCACTAGATCTGCTTTTGACTAGGCCTCAAAATTCGTAACTGTTTTATTATTACACTGTTAGTTCCATCTACCTTCAACGTTGTATTTTCCAGTTTGTCAATCTGACAAAATTGATCAGTTCCTATGTCTCTCAGAGTTCCATTTGTTTATACTTTACACTTCCATTTGTAACAAACATTAAACATTTAAAGTAAATTCAATTAGTAAACTAAAATATTGATAAAATTATGTTTTAATATTTAATAAATATACCAAACATGATAATTATATGGGTAAACCTAGTTATACATGTTGCACTGTATGTTCTTAAAATAGCAAAATGAACTTACATGAGTAAACACTAGTATAAAAATGGATATTACAGCTATTTCAAATATTTCCCACAACTTCCATTCCCCCCCCCCCAATTCTTTTCCTCCAGGAGCTTCAAGATTTCTGAAAATTTTACATCTCTATTTCTACCTGCTGCTTAGTGCAGAAGTATCTAATGTTTAATACCAGCTCTTTGCCAACAATAAGCTTCTTAGATCCATAAACTGAAAAAGCCAGAAAGCGTCCATACGAATAGTAGTAGAAATAAAGTGAAAAAATAGCAATAAAAATATGTATAATACTATAGCATTAGTAATACACAATGTCTGTTTGTATATTATATCATCTAGACTTGCCTTCTAAGTAAGAATCACAACTGAGAAGGCAAGAAGGTCAATGCAAGTGTATCAGATTTTTCTGCTGAATAATGTAAAACCTGATGCTGGCTATATTTAGATTTACTTTCCATTCTAGTGACCATAGCTTTACTGTTTTAGCCAATATCACCTTATAATATATAGCAGGGATTTGAAATATCATGTCCACAGGCACTGGAAAATTCTTAGATGGCTTTTAAATTAGATTAAACTTTTGTCCAACATGCAAAACTAGAAAATAAATTATTTTGACTATTCAGTCCTTCTATAATATCATTCCATAAAAGTAATATAAATTTCCAAATTGAATTCAATAATAGAAGTTCATATGGCTGAACATGAAAATATAATATATACCAATATCCCCCAGCCTTTATCTTGTTGATTATATCATTTCCACCTTCAATCACTGAATCACTACAATTTTTTACATTCAGAATTTCACACCCTTAAGAATAATGATGCAATCAGTTGAATTTAGAAATCTTAGACAGTGGCCTAAATCACATAATTAATCTGAGCCTTAACTATTCTAAACCTCAGCCATAGGCAGGCCAGTCTATCTAACAAACTCTAATGTTTATAAAGTTCACACAATCCTTCAAGCCATCATGACTGAGACAGATATCCTAATGTTCTTGCCCTTCCACATGTTAAGAAAGCCAAAACTTCTATTACAGTGGAACCTCGAGTTACGAATTTAATCCGTTCCGTGACTCTGGTTGCAACTCGAATTGGTCGCAACACGAGGCAAATTTTCCCATAAGGTTCAATGTAATTACCGTTAATCCGTTCCAGCCTCCGTGGACTACACGTCAGGGGCGGAAAAACGGCTGCGGACCACGCAGCAGGGCGGAAAAATGGCCGCGGACCACGTGTCAGGGGCGGAAAAATGGCCACGGACCACGTGTCAGGGGCGGAAAATGGCCGCGGACCACACGGCAAGGCGGAAAAACGGCCGCAGACCATGTGGAATGGGCGGAAAAATGGCCGCGGACCATGTGGAACGGGCGGAAAATGGCCGCGGATCCGGTTTGTAAGTTGAGGCGAGTTCGCAAGTCGAGGTAAATTTCTGGGGCCGGAGCTGGTCGTATCTCAAAAAATTCATAAGTAGGGGCGTTCGTAACTAGAGGTACCACTGTAATTTGCTGAAAAAGATTGCTATTTTGCCTGAATATCAAGAACTAGTTTTGGTGAAAACTAGGTTAACTAGGCAAGCTAACATCTTGTTGTGACTTGTTCTTGAAACCTTGCTTCATTTACTAAATGATACATTCTATGGTTACATTGTACATGGTACATTATTCTTTTTCTACATTTCCCCAAAGGATAAATGAAAAAAAAAAAGCACAAAATCTGTAGTCAAAAGCACACTTACACTCAGGACCAGAAATATTGGAACAAGGATAACTGTTTTGGCATTGGCCTCTGTACACCACCACATTGAAGCTGAAAGGAAACTTCAAGGGGTTCGACAAAAGTGGGGCACTAACCATTCAGGAAGTACAGCCAGTGGCATTACACACACACCCATCGTTGGTGGCTCATAAGTAATGGAATGAATGGCTGACAAGCAGCTGCATGGCCAGGTGTGGCCTATTTCCTGGGTACCCCATGACCAATCAAGCAGATAAAAGGCTTGTAGCTGGTTCGGAGTGTTATATTTGCATTTGGTAGCTGTTCACTGGAACTCTCAACATGAGGTCCAAAGAGGTGTCCATGCGAGTGAAGGAGGCCATCATTAGGCTGAGGAAACAAAATAAACCCATCAGAGAGATAGCAAGAACACTGGGGTGGCCAATACAACAGTTTGGAACATCCTGAAAAAGAAGCAATTAACTGGCAAGCTCAGCCACAGCAAAAGGCCTGGAAGACCATGGAAGACAACTAAAGTGGATGACTGCAGAATTCTGCTCACGGTAGAGGAACTCTTTTACAACATCTAGCCAGGTCAAGAACGCTCTTGAGGAGGTAGGCATGTCATTGTCAACATCTACAG